GCACACCTAATGCTTTCTTGATGGAGAGGAGTGTGGAGGAATCATGAGGACAATCGAAGAAGTGGCAAATTAATCCAATTTTCGCATCTCTTGCACACCCTCTAAGGTGTTGTACAATGTCATCACCTCTTCTTCTCATCCTCCTTGTACTCCTCCACCTTCTTCCATCCCACAACGTCGACTGCTGACTTGACGATTCGATGCCAGCGTGGAGAGAGGAGGATGAAGCCATTGAAGCATTCTCTTCGCAGTGTCTCATTGAATGTGTGCGTGTATGTGAAAAAAAATGTGGTGTGAAGTCTGCAGCATCACGTGTGGCTATTTAATTGTTTACCGCAGATTGTCGTTGCGGTAACACCTTTACGTAATTCAGCTCGACTTATCATTGGAAAGGAGGTGCATCGAATCGTCCATTCTCTCGACACTTCACTTTCTTTCCTTGCTTCGGTGTGGAAGCGCACGCTCCACAAAAACTAGCACCGTCGTTCTCGCTTTCGCTGCACCAAATAACCGTCCTCCCCTTTTTACACTCCTGACAGTACCAAACACGTTCTTTTCCTTTGCATCATCGTCTTTCGCCTTTAAAGGGACTGCTGTTGCACCATTGACGTTGCCTAGCCTCCCATTGTTAGTGTTACGTGTTCCCGCAGCGACGGTGAGGAAGCTGAAATGAAGGTCGGCGAGTGGGTTCACGTCAACCAGATTTGAAGGAGGCATGCAGACATACTTGCAAAGGTGAAGGCAGGTCTGCAGACAACATTTGCTAATTGGCAGCGGTGTGGAGTGACGACAAAGTTGCGGTGGTACAGTTGCAGTGGCATTGGTGAGTGGAGTGTTCACTTGTGATGTCACAACGATCTGATTGTTAAAGCGTTTTGCTTGAGAGTTAGGAGGGTTGGTAAAGTGCGACGCAAGACTCATCCACGTTGTAATAACCGTGAAGTGAAAAATACGTGGACGAACTACTGGTCAGTGCATTAGGTGATGCTGCTAAGAATGTGGAAAACAGTGAAGAAGGTCTTAACTGTCAGGTTCGGCTCTATTCTTTGCATCTAGAATTGCTGATTTCAGAATCGCTGGTAGTGCAATTGTGGAGAAGGCTAGTGGAAATGAAGGGGGTTGCATAATTACTGCAAGCTGCACTAGTGTTCAGGCATGCGTGCTTCTGACCCAAGTAGAGGTGTGGTGCACTGTTTTATGCCTACACCTTGTTAACTTCATATACTTCCACGTCAAGTTTAGTGTTTGTGCTTTAGAAGGCGGATGCGCTGAAAAGCGTGATACGCTGAGTGTGTCGGGCCTTGTCTTCCTCTTGAACACCCGTTTGCCTCGTGGGAACCGTTGGCCTTGGGATGGTTAACATGTGACAGGAGATGTGGCAACTCCGCGCATTAAGTGCGCTTCACAGGCAAGTGTCGACTACTGCTGTCAGGATAAGGGTGGAGTTGGTCTGGACGTGTGATGTGGATGCAGGTATGCCTTCCACGGTGATACTAGTGACTGTGATGACACCGTGTCTAGATGTCACTAATCAAGGTTTACATCGTCATTTATGTGAGCGTATTAGTTTTGCCCTGCTACTGTTTTGCATACCTACTTGTTTCACTTCGCCTTCTCGTCTTTGGCGGATGCATGGTCATTGGGAGGGCGATTGGTGTGGCTGTTTGGCAAAAGATGGTTTTTCGTGGTGAAGCTGATGCACCTGTAACACATCTGTGGTGGTGGTGGGGACTTGGTCGATGCACGATGTACACTGCCAGTGAGGCGTCATTAATAGTGTTGCTGTCGTTTGAGACTGCTAGGTGTTGTGGGCTTGTCCATTCGTGCGTGATCGAGTCCTTTAGGCAGGAATGCGGAAGTGATCGTGGTTATAATGTTTTGAAATAATCCTGGTTTGAAGCAAGGGTCACGAGGTGATGAGGTGCAGATACATTCTTGAGATGGTCAAGGAGAAATCGCACATTTATTCACTTTCGTAGTCCATCCACGCCCTCGTTGAAATGCAGAAAACGACTCGGTTATTGATGTTGGTGCAGTTGGAAGTGAAGAGGAAAGCGCAGAGACCTCAACAACTGTCCAAGGCACACATATTCTTCCACATTTCAGTCAACACATTTATGAACTAGACTGCAATCATTGCGCACCTTGTTTGCGGGTTAGGCGATCATGAAAGCATCACCGAAACTGGATGTTGTTGTTCAATCACAACTTCAAAGCTGAACTTACGTGCCACACGTGCAGTTGTTTGAAAATTGCGTGCTTCAAAATAAACAGCATCGTCAGATTTGACCTGCGTTGCACCTTAGTCAAAGCGTATTTGGCATGCAATGCATTCATCCACACCCTCGTTGCCCTCAGCCGTAGAGCGCAAACGTTTACACTGACCATAGAAAAGTACACTCATGCAATCCACAGTGTGGTTTGCTACATTTCGCATTTGCTTTGTACACTTCGTAGGCAATGTTTGAGGTTCCTGCAGCACCATGACTTGCTAAACTAATTACGCGGACACGCCTCGGCACCGCCTCGTGGTGCCTCTTGAAACAAGTCGTCGAGGAGTGATGGTGGGTGCAGTAGAATCACATCCGTTCCCCTCACACGCGCATTACCATTGAGGAAGCATAAGGCATGCCTTTGCTTGTCTCGTTTGGGCTGTCATTGGCACATAGGCACATTTTTTTGCAACGATGAAATTCGCAGTCATCTGGTCATCTGGAGGCAAGTC